TTACCTAAACCCTTACCTAAACCCTTACCTATACCATCCAAGTCAAAAACAACTACATTTCCCAAGAAAAAGACTTCTTCACACTTTACATTACACTGCCACCTGTATATACTCAAACTGGGCCCTCTGTGCCTGCGCCTATTTGTGACCTTTGCCCTTATATATCTCTATATCTTCAAGCCAAACTCCATGTTATATGGCCCCAAAATGAAGGAATTATATCAATTTAAGAAATGACAGAAGATGGAGACGGAGAAGAAAGATGAGGACACACGAGATGGCACATAGTGTGGTGAAGCCACGAAAAATTGAATGCATTTACTTCCGTATGAGGTAAATATTGGGGGTCCACACGTCCTTCCTGGTAACAACAAGCTCCTTGATTTCCGAAGCACTTGAACTGTGCTTATCTTCGTACTCTTTGGGGTCCCAATACAGACGGCTGTCATTCCATTGCTAGAAGAAACAAAGACACTTAAAAAATACTACTAAAAGATACCGATTGACACATTTAAATTTTATGATTTTATGGGTTGGTTGTGCATAAAACAGCAAAACAATATTCGCGCACAACAGTATTTCACACTGTTTGGACATATTTTTCTTCACTTTCATCAATAAACTGGAAATCCATCATATTTTAGACTTTCAAGAAGTGTTTGAGTATCCATGAATATATTGGAAATGTGTTGTGATCATGAGGACATACTTTATTGATTTACATCGCAGAATAGATTATTACTAACACGGCCGGCTATATAATTGTACCCCCGTTGTACACCACAGTTTTTATTATTTACCATGATTACACAGTACATGTTCACTTGGTTCAAAACAATACTTCCGTCCCATTAAGAAACAATGCCACTTAATAACTCACCAGCCCGAAAACAATCGATGCAACCATGTTCTCATTCTTCTCATCCTGAAACCACGAAGAAAAGGGTTCGAAACATATCCAAGTTAGAAGCACCAGCAACTACGTATACATTCTGTTGATACAATATTTAGTCATTGCATAAAATTAATTCTTTCACCACACCTCAAGGCATGCGAAAATGTTGAGCTTATTCCCTCGCCCGTCTGTCTACCTAGCTTACTCAAGGTTTGTGCTTATAAATATATGATCTCGTGCAGATCTAGAGCAATGTTTGTCAATGAACAATGTTGGATAGTAGACTTGACACTTTAAAAGCAGTTGTATTGTTGAGAACGTCGATCGGTGATGTGGTCCAACAACCTCCAAGAGTCAAAATATGCATGAAAAGCTTGAATGAATACAGATTCAGTATCACTAACAATAAAAACGACAACAAAAAGAGGTAGATGTCTTACTCACGGCGTCGATTATCTCCAACACGAAAGCTTCAAAAATGACCTTGACCTGATCACTGCTGGGGGCCAGTTGCGGAGAGTAGCGTTCCTTGTCAAGCAGCTTGTTTCGGATTAGCAATTTGTTGTCAACTAGAGAACAACATGGGGATTTAATTATACTACTCGTATCTGATAAACAAAATATCTTGTCTAGCCCATACTACATTACGATTGTAAGCAGTGTGTATCTACATACAGTCTTATTAGCATTAACCCAATTCCAGTCAACAATGTGTCCAATTATTTAAGTCCCACATCGTCATCGCACTCACGCCGCCGAAACAGCTTTCATAGCACTTCTTAGCTTAACTGGGATTTAAAAGATATTCGGCTACCCTAATAATATCACAGAAGAGGAATATATATCTGTGCAACTTAGAATAGTAATGCAAGAAGCAAAATCAAATAAAATTGCGTCAGAAGCAGAGGAGTTTGTTGTATTCATTCCATTTGGCTTAAAACATGTGTATATGCTCATTTGCTTTGAAATCATTTGGAGGAATGCCAAAAAAACATTATGTTAGAAATGATAAACATAATAGAAAAGATAAACTTACTAGAACACACTAACCAGGACTCGCTCCATTTGCCGTTTTCAGTGCATGTTATCCACCTGTCTTCCTCCTTCTCCATGAAGAAGCCTGTGTCACAGCTGACGAAAACCTTTTCTCCCACCTTGTAGAAATTCCGAATCGGAATTATGCTTCCCGAGTTCACAGAAGGACGACTGCAAACGGTTTCTGGTAAGATGTGAGAAATAAGCTTGTTCAATTGCAGGTATGGACCGCGATGTACTCGATGATCTCGAAGCGGGAAACTGTAGGACAGTTTGATGTATCAGAGTCCTGACGTGGTAGAGACTGTCGGACAGTCTCAAAAATATTGCGTAAACATGTTGGGCAGTTTTAGGGCATATCGCTTTCCCTGTGGATAGAGGTTGTCTGACAATCTCGAAGTGGGAAACTGTAGGGCAATTTCATGTATCGGAGTGCTGACGAGGCAGAGACTGTCGGACAGTCTCAAAAATATTGAGTAAAACTGTTGGGCAGGGTTTATCGCTTTCCCTGGGGATAGAGGTTGTTGAACAACCTCGAGTTTAAGGTCGGAAACTATTTTGGATAGTTTCGTGTATCGCTCTCCCTATGCGTAGAGGTTCCCGACAACCTCTTGATGGGTTAGAGACTGCAGATTTTGGTAGTCTTCTAATCGGCTTTCCATCGTTTGGCCACTACCGATAGCAGGAGGAGAGGTAGTAGGGTAGTTTTCGGTTGTCTTTGTTAGCGACAATCGACAGCGGGAGGAGAGTGGAAATGTATAATTATTGTGGACCGGTGCTTGGAAATTGCGTTAGACTGTATGATGTTGATTCAGAGACCTCGGCCGGGCTTGGTTGATTGGTTGGTTGGTTAGCAAAGGGTACGTTATATTACAAAGGATCAATATAAAATTTCATGCGATTTATGATAGAAGGCGATTGCGGGTCAGCTTTGACTGTACACCGTTCCTTAGTATGTAAATCATAACGTACCTAGTAGAAGAAACCTTACCATGACAAGGCTTTAAACCACATGGCTCAATGACGAAAGCAATCACGCCGTGAAAAAGATTTTTTCTATACGGGTCCTCCACATGACAGAAGGGTTCTGACCATCTGGATGCTGTAAAAGGCAGACAGACACAGACAGTTATCTCCTCTGTTACAACATTTTATTTCAAAACTCAATTCATTTAACTTTGCGAAATTCAAAACAAAAGACTGCCACGTAGTTCGCTTATTTAAGAAAAGTCTTAGCCTTTAAAAGTACGGACCGACAAAGATATTCCGGCAGTAGTTCTCCTGTAGATCTGCCCATTCGACGTGTTGCTTGAAATACATCTTGTTTACTACCTTGTTCCAATCAAGGCACTTTTCGCCGTCCTTCGGTAAAGTCCCCATTCCTTTGTAGTTTTGTCCGTTACCGTAATAGCAATCTGTGTGGCGGATACAATGTGAATATGGATGTTACTATGACAGGTATGCATGTACATAGTCTTAAACGTAAGCAAATTGTTCCCCATATAGACCTCAACGCATCAAATCAGTTTTCAATCGTATATAGAAGGTTTAAATGTGACAAATTTGAGTCTTGACTAGACCTTCGGTAACCTGGGTACCATCCGGATTTTCACTCCGCAACGCTAAAAAAATCACAATTTTTTGGCTGTTGTGGAGCGAAAATCCGGATGGTACCCAGGCTAGACCTTCGGGAGGTTCCAAGTTGACACATTCAGCGGTAGGAAGACTCGTACAGAGGATGTCATCAAACAAAGATCCGGTGGTGGCTCCAGATGAGCAGGAGAATCGAACCTCATGGCACCATGACTGACAGGGTAGTAGTTTCGTACTATAATGATGCCGATAATGTATGATTCAATCAAGGCAATGTAGGTCTATGTTATTTTTTTTTAAATTCAAACACATAAATTAAAATTGGATACTTTCGTCTTATTTCTAGTTCTGCTCAATATCTTCATTGATTAATGTATTGTCTGCGTCACCATGTCTCCACTAAAAAGTAATTCAGGGGTCGACGCAAAAAATCGTTCATTTTTCTAGGTTTAGACGGTTTATACATAACACAAAAATACCAATAAGTAAATACCAGTTTTCAATGACATGTTATATTGTGACACTTTATGCGATGTATTGAAAAAAAAGAACAATAACTGATCATTTACATTACCTCACATTTTGTGAAAACTGGGGCATTAACAGTGAACACAAAAAAGGTTGGATTTGCGGATGACACGAAGAGTTGACAGTCGTCATTTCCTGCCATTGCCGCGAAGCCAGAATCTCCTCAACACTTGATTGATTGTAAAAGTTGGGGATCGTTATCTCTTTGAAGTCCAGGTCTTTGCAATAGTTATAAAACTCATCGGGGACAGGAACCGGGACCTCATGGATACGGCCAGAAGTCACGGAAGCAACCAGGTCTGAAGAATGATACAAATAAAAACGGTCAACGAGGCCATATGCCATATATTGTACCTGTTATAGTTGTGCTTGACTTAACCCTATCTTCACCCTATGGGAATCAATGTGACTCAGTTAGAAGTGGTTGAAAGAAAACGAATATGTTTGGGGTTCGGGAAAAATCTCTGAAATAACTGGAAAAAACTATGGTTCTATTCTATCTTTTCTATTCTATCTTTTCTGCGACGACGAGCGTAGCTAACACCGAGAGTTTTATACTAGTTAAATATCATGATCGTAACACTTTCAAAAATATTTGGCTCTTGACACCACTGGCCTTACTAGAGTAGACAACAGACGTGATAAACTGTGGCTAAAGTTTGCGCGTTCTCTCACATGCAGTGAGAAATGCCGTGCTTAATTGGCTGCCATCACAAGGGGGGGGGGGGGGGTACAGAATAAAACACTTAGAAACAACGTATGATAAACAGTACAGATTAGATAATAGAGTACCACTTATAAGGCCACAGCAAGTAATTTTTATGGATGACATCCGCGCGCGCATTAATTTTCGCCTGATTTTGAAAAAAAAAAAAATTTGTTGCCCTCTGACACTGGTCAACATGCCGGAGATGGGCAAAGATGTCTGTTTCCATGCCGGAAGGTGGATGACAGATAGCTATAAAGAAAGGAGACAAGAAAAGACTCTGATTTAATGTTTGTTTCTTACTTTGATGCAGTGATATGTGATGCTGGCTGTGTATATGTGATGTTCCCACTGAATCAAAACCATTTGTACACTGATTGAGTCAAAATTTTAAACGGTAGGAACCTTGTTTTTTTCGGCCCGCCTTGTTTTTTTTCGCCCGCTCGCGCGCAAATTAGATTTGGAGTCTGGGGAGGATGTCATCCATAAAATTTACTTGCTGTGGCCTAATGTGCGATTTGGGTGTATTTCTCGTGCAACGCCTCACACCGCAGAGAAACGCAACGAATTCAGAAGGCACTAAGCCCCCGCAGGGCAAAAGCAGTCAAGGGTCTATGATCTGGTTAAGACGTCAAATTATTTGAAAATATTGTGTAGAACATGCCAACAGGACAATACAAAACAATGTCGTGATATCAGTGATTTTTCAGGGTGTAGTCTTGTTCTTACTTCGTATTCGTAATGTAAATTGTTTTTTCAATCTTTATATTCCAACTATTCATAAAGCAACATGGCGACGGCACGCTCAAATTATAGTAACGTATTTTACGCCGTAACCTACGTCGAAGACAAATACAGGAAATAACAATACTCATTTTCACTTGAGTGAGGAAAGTCGTGTAAAGTGCATTTCAAAAAGCAGAAGATCGGTGGCTTGTCAGGACTCGAACCCGGGTCTTCTTGGCTCCGAGTTAAGCGCTGACTGCCGTTACGAGTCCTGACCTTTGTCTTTCCTGTTTTTACCCATCCACTAGATATCATTAACAACCACCCGCGTTTCCTGGAGCTATGTTGTCCCGAAACAAAATCCCCAAAATACAAAAAGCTCTGCAATAACGTAGGAACATCACAGGATAACCATTTTGGAACTTGAACTTTGTTCATCTACATCTACAAATTGTGGAGTTGGAAAAAGCCAGGTAGACCGTTTTTTTTAAATCGACCTAATTTTTTTTACAACAGCTACCCACATAACAAATATCAAAAATATTCATCCACAAATAATAGAGCTATAACGTTAACCTAACGGACCCGCGTCACAGCTGCCCCACCCAGGCCAAATCGAATACATACTCTTCTGGCGAAGACATTTACTAATACATGTCTACATTAATGCATGTGTTATACAGGCCTAAAGCAAAGAGTTAGGACACCTGTACTACATGTATTTTAATTATTTCAATCTTAAAGATCTGCAGAAGAGACCATTTTTATGTAACCTTCAACTAGACATTTCCACGCACGTATTTTGTCCAAAATATAGCCTCACATTGAAAGTTTACAAACAGTCTGTTGACATATGAAATTATTTAAAAAAATAGGCCTCTTACTTACTTTCTGAGAAGGCAAAAGAACCAGGCGCATAAAAGCCGAACCTAAAAAACAAATACCACTTCTTGGCATGTTACAAATATAGGGAATTTTCATGCTTAAAAGATACAAATGGAAAATCATTTTTACATTATGTTGCTATATGGTATCTTGCTACGAAGCAAACTCATCGGCTTCCTATGTACAATTTGGAAGGACCGCATGTTACTAACGTTGTGGTGGTGATTCCGTTTTGGGTGGAACCTTGGTAGAAGGGTTGCCCAGGGAGTTTGTAGACCGTGACTTCTCCGCCTTCGGCCGGGATTCTGCCGTCATGGATAGCAGCACGACAGACACCGGAGAGGTCCTTGTAGAGGAATAGACAGCAAAATGAAGGAATAATTGATCTATTGACAACAATGTAAGTGGGGGCTACTGTTACAAACAGCATTGATCACACTCACGCGTATGTAAATGGCGGTACCATAGACGATCCGCCCTCTAGTCGCACAGCCAGCAGGGCAGACCACTCTGTGGTGGGGTAGGGAACAGATAAAGTGAGGCTCCAGACGCAAAGACGTTGCTTTACACTAACACTAATAAAAATATTAATAAATTGCACGGGTCATAACAGTGCCATCAGAATAATAGTAGACCGATACATTTAAAACTGTACCATTCTTGTATTTTATCGTTATTGTTTTTCTGATGCTCAACTAAATTCTCAGGAAGAAGTGAAATACAGTACTGTTGGCTACTGGCTTACTTAGATGATTCCCTATCCAGCTGCTCGCCTGTTGTGGTGCAGTTGATCTGTTCTGAAAGTAAAAGGTAGATCCTCTATTGATACTCTAGAACTATAATTCGAAAGTCTTATCTTTTTACAAAGTAGGATACTGTCCTCATTTGCATAATTATATCAGTTACACTGCTACAAAGTAAACAAACATATATAGGTATAAACAGGTTATTTTTCTTAAAATTTCATCATTACTTCCATTTCTTTTTACAAGAAAGGTTCATTTTGACGTCTTAAGTCAATTTTCAATGTATTTTAGCCTTTATCTTGAAAATAAAACTATTTTCAAAATTCAAGTTTTATAATCCAAGATGGCGGATAGCTAAAATATGCATGACGTCATCCTATGACGTCACTGGTGTTGCTATGGGCAACATAAGTTTTAGTACATCCTAATATTCTATTATGAATACTTTTTGTTAAAGTCATGTTTTATACCATTGAGTTTTTAGGGAATAACCTATCTATACGGTTTTGGCCAATAAAATCACATTAATGACGTCATAATGACGTCATATTACGTCATAACGACATCAAAATTGTAGTTATGATAAATTTTTGCTAGTACACCATCCTCTGAAAATTTGGTGGTCATACGATATACCGTTCGCGAGTTCTGAGGGGGGGGGG